TCTGGTTCGAAGATTCCTAGCTTCTTCACCGGAGAGGATTTATTGGCGTTGGATCGTGCATCAGGAAACTGGATTGCGTGGATACCATAGTCGAGGACATGACGAACAACGGTAAGTTTTCGTTGATCATTCACGCGATCTAGGATCACATCGAATAGCTATAGCCGAATCTTCGTTGTTGGTAAGAAAAATTTGAAATTCCGCTGCGCGTACGTTAGGTTCGTACGTCTAAAATACAACAACTACACCAACACGTGCAAGCGTGTGGACACAGACACACAGAGAGAGAGAGAGAGAAAGAAAGAGAGAGAGAGAGAGAGAGAGAGAGAGAGAGAGAGAGAAATATATAGCTGAACAAACTCCTTGAACAGAAAAACACATGGATGATAATGTTTCAAAACCCAAAATCGACTACTTGCGAAAATAATCTTGTAATATATAAGTAGCACTTTATTATCACGTGGGACCACAATAAAGTATTAACCTACAACACCATTTTATGATGTCCTATTTTTTCTTTATCTCTCATTTCACTAACCTGTCTAAATGTTCCTCAAGTTTGAATATCTTCCCATCATAAATCCTAAGACCCTCCCAAACAGCATCACCACCTTGGACAACCGAGTCAAGAACGGAGACCTGAAAATGTTGCACGGGCATCATAAACCCTCTCACAGTAAAGAGTAAAGAAGGAAGCTGGTACTATGTCTTTTGATGCACGGAGAAGTTTTCATGTCCCTGCGGTACCTTTGCACTTTCACGAGGCACAATCTCATTACCAACCCAAGCAAGCAACTTCTCATTGGCAGGTACCGGAAGAGGGGGATTGAAAGATTTTGCTGGGTTCCGTCTCACATAGCCCTTAAGCAAGTTATAGAAGGGTAAACTTTGCTCCAGCAAATCATATAAGGATAATGGAAATGGCTGAAAAAAATATAAATGAGTAAATATCAGGAAAACGTAGCACAGTGCAAATTTGCAGGTTCAATTTCTCATACGAAAGGCGCATCTTTTACTTACAGAAGGATACTTCCTTGGTGGCTTAAAGCCGGTTGACTTATGTGTGCTTTCATACCAATAGGGGGCCCACATTCCATCAAATGGTTTAGGCCCAGGTTCCCATCTGAAAAGATAAATAATTAAGTAAAAAAAATTGTAAACAATCAGGCAACATAAAAACAAATTGTAAACAATCAGGCAGCATAAAAACAAATTGTAAACAATCAGGCAACATAACTACTTCATTTCCTGGGTATATCACGACAAGTTAGCTGACTTGTTGAGATCAAATCAGTCTTACGCTGAACAAAGACAATTTGTTGTGATAATCTGACTTTTCCTCCTACTTTACAGCTGATCTAACATACTTAAGCTATTTACCTCGTAAAATCAATTGGCAGAAGTTTATAACTAATGGAAGCATCTCTAGCAGAGTTTACAACAATAGGTTTACTTGGAATGACTACATGCTACATTTTGTAACAATTTTCCTTACTTAAGCATTGCAGCCTGGAATGGTATACCAAGATCATCACATAAAGCATGTAAAGTAGCCTGCACGCAGAACAAGATTAGTCCAAACATTTCATTAGGTAATATATATATATATATATATATATATTATATTTCATGACGAAGAAGAAGGAATGACACTATAATACTAAATGAGTCTTCTTTAAGTAGAAGATATGCAGCACTGGTGCTACTTATTTGAGATTCATTTATTTTCCAGCTATACTGTCAAGAGTATCAAACCACACGTATACGTGTATTATTCATACAACATCGAAATTCGAAAGGGTATAAAAACAAAGAAGCAAACAACTTCTCGTTTTGCATGTGATTAAAAAGTAAAGGAAAATGGCAGACCAAAATTCAAATTATGTTGGGGGCGGGGCAAACCATCACATTTTCTGATAATGCAAATGATTTCTTCTCGTTTTAAAGACAATAACAGCTAAATAAAACCAACTGTGTGTGGGGGGGAAAAAAAAGACGACAGAGCTACATAGGGAACACATGTGCGTGCGCGCGCACACACACACATATAGAGAGAGAGAGAGCATTAAAGGAATACTATTGGTAATCACAATTCGATAAATGTTTGGAACCTCTGGATCTTCTCCAAGTAAATCTGAATCGATGACAGGAGGTTTTACTCCTCGGGAACTCAGCTCACTCTAAATGGAGACCATGCTATTATACCCCAGATCATTTAATGATGGTGGGACAACCTTTTCATAGGATGTCTGCGAGAATAAGAGGGGTAAGTTCAGCAAAAGTAAAACTTGC